TAGCAAAGTGTAGTACATTATAGTGTAATGTAGCATAGTATGGAGTATTTCAGTATAGTTTGCTATAGTCTGGAATAGTACAGTACGTTATAGTACATAAGTATTGTGCAATACAGTATGGCACATATTAGTATGGTATAGCATTAAAGTACAGTATAGTATGATATAGTAGAGTATAGTATAGTAAAGTACAGGATGATATTTTCTTACCAGAGACACTTGCAGCAGCCGCACCAGCAGAGGCAGCAGGTGTTGGGTCGGGGCTGTCCAGGGGCCTGTGGGGGGGCCTCGATATGAGCCGCCTGCCTTTTTCTCATCTCCACTCCGCTCACACTCCGGGGCTTCACAACCGATACAGGTAGAGAACAAACACAGTTAAATACACTTCACATTACCAATAATACAACAGAGAGTTCATTAGAGAGTGGAAAATACCAGAAACTATGTGTGTCCGTCTGTGTGAGAGCGAGAGCACTCGAGCAGAAGAGAGGATTCCCTCCCTCGTACGCTTGCTGGCATTGAGCCAAGTCTTTCACTCTGCTTTGACTGACGCTACACATACATTTCAGTGGGAACAGAGCAACACACTACACATCACGTTCACGGAGAGACGTGTCCAATAAATGCAAATTCTCACTCACACAAACTCAAAATTAAATTATAATAATTAAATACAGTTGATGGTTTAATTTTCACTTAGTTGACTAAGCGATTTACAGCTATGAAACCTTTTTCATTTTGTTTTTAGCAAAGAAAGAATTCTTATAAAAAGTTCACTTGTCATCAAGTGATGGAAACATTACACCCGGGTGAACGTGCTAATTTCTTCTTCATTATTTTTGACAGTCTTGCTGCGGACGCTGCAACTTTGCCTGTGTGACGTTACGATGCTCACTGAACATTCACACAACATTCGGTAAATTGCCAAAACCATTTAGATTTTTACATCTTGGGAACAACAGCGAGCTTCTCGGTTTTTCAACGCATTCCTGACTTTGAACATGACTCGCCAGAGAAAAACCAGGTTTACCCACGTTAAAGAAGATGCATTGACCTGCTTATTTCAGAGTAAATGTGAACTGTATGTGTAAAAAATATGCCTAATCAAATTAATCCAAGGGACATACATGACAGTAACATTTTGTAGGGGGCAAAATAACTGAGACCCTCTGAACTAGACTACACAGCTTCCTTCCAGTTGGTCCAAAAGCCAACATTAACGTTATGAAACAGTGTAAAGAAGAGAAGAGAAGTCACGACAGAACTAGTTCATCTGTTGTGACCAATCAATGAGCACCTCCAATTAACAGTTGGCAGATAATTTTAATTTCGCTGATGGATTCTGTGAAAAATGAACCAATTAACTCCAGTCTTGTAGTCGAGGAATCAAAGTTACAGTTAATGAAACACTTTGCTTACCTGCAACATCATGGCTCAAATTAAACTCCTCATTAAACACTAACAAAATCCAAGTAACTGCGCTTCAGAAGCAACAGATGAGCCCACTCTCGTCTTTCTGGCTCCCTCTGCTCTGCGTACAGACAGTTTTACTGCGATGATGATACATTGCCAGTAAGGTTGAAAGAAGACCTGCGTGATATGCAAATGTTTTTGCCTGATGGGTGGAGTGGCCATCAGATATTCCGCAAACAGGCAGCGTATGTGGAAAAAAACAGGCAGCGGGATGCAAACGAAGGTGAGGGTTCTGCTTTGTTCTAAATGGAGAGAGGGACACCGCAATGATCACATCATGCAAATATGGAGTGGAAATACAAATGTGATAAGAGGGAAGAAATAACAGAGAAAGATAGGATCTGTAATATGAGCAGCAAGTATTCTGATGACCATATTTTACATTTGATTAATTCAGAAAGCGTAAACTTTAACTAGCAAAATGCAGCACACGCCATATGCTCAGACAGTCACCCAGTTCATTGAGGCCTCCGGCTTGCTTCAGCAACAGGTTATTCCCCAAGGGAATGGGCCGCAAGAGTCTGTTAAAGTAAATGTCGATTTCACAAAGTAATCCCTGACGAATGATGACACCATCTGCATTTAGATTGGATCCCTGTAAACTCACTTTAGCTGATTTCAGTCGTGCAGTAATCTCTGCATAATCTCCTGACATTCCGCGGAGGGGCTGTATGAGAGAACGAGAATGGCCGAGGCCAGGCTCCGGACTTTCTCCAGAGTTTCTCCTACAAGCCTCCGAGTACCAACTCCGGATAATGTGCTAAAGAGCCCATGTGAGAAAACAGCAAGAAATTCTCTGGAGGATTCACCGCAAGACATATGGAGTGTTCTTCCCACAGAACTGAAAAAAACTAAAACAACACAAATATCTCAAGATGAACAAGAGGTGTCATATACATAGAAGATGCGACGTCTATGTGATTTAAACAAAAACACATGATCCTGCAATGGAAATTCATACGTCACATTCTGCCGCTACATGCTGCGCCACCGCTCTTCTCAATGCTCTGGAGAATTAACATTGCTGTGAATACGTCGGACTGTAGAATCTCCTGCTGAATTCTACAGAAGTGAAAGGCAAACTCTAAATCTGGACCCCATTGTGCCGACATTCTCCGGAGTTCATGTCTGAAAACAGCCTTTTAAATATGCGACTTTTACAGCACAAAGGAAATGTGTGTCTGCTACTGCACAACTAAAACCACAGAGAGGACAGAGCTTCTGGCTGTCTGTAATTTTCCCAAGGTAGTGAAAAATGTCGAACGGTGGAAGAACTGGAGTAACTTGAGGAATCACACTCCTTCAAGTGTCCTTAATATGTTATATAAATACAACAGGGTCATCATTTATAACTGTTGTTTATTGTGGAGTATGAATAATTCATTAGATGTCCCCTGTGAGAACACACTGTGGTGCTCTTGTTTTAAACCTTTCAACACATAAAGCTCTGATGTCTTTACTGTGAGGCTTTACATACTGCAGGGCAGCTGTGAGCCTGACTTATCATCACTGATCAATGGAAATCTATATAGATCAAACGATCGCCTGAACAGAAGATGAACCGACCGTGGTACAAACATCCACCGCCCTGATTTGATTCTATTTTTTTTAAACTCAGAAGGTCAAAGAAGTAAAAATACCGCTTTGTTAATTATTCATACTTTTTAAACATAGTTTTGTCAATTTTTAGAAGGTGAATTTTTTTATTTTAAGTTACAGTACAACTTTACCCTCATAATATTACCACATGATACTGTGACTTTATTCTCGTAGTACTACGACTTACAACAGTCAGCAGAGTGCAATTAAGCAGTAATGGCTTTAAAAAAAGGTGGGGGGTGTACTACAATTATACTGGAACTGATTAATTAGGCTTAAGACAGAAGTTAATGTTTTTACTGTGATGGTTTTTAAACAATATGAGACAATTGACACCTCATTGAGGAAAATACATAACAGCTCCTTATAAACCTTTCTTTTCCGTCTGAGTGCAACAACCAACTTGGAGATATTATGTCTCCTCCCCTTCTGACAATATAAACAGTTACAGTCATTCTAGACAGAGGTCAAACTTACCATGAATTACTGAGTTTCTAAAAACAGGTCAGACAGAGCAATCATGGCGTGAGGTAATAGGTTGCTGGACGATAGCAGGCTGGTTGACGGAGAGACTGAGTGGCTGACTGTCTGGGCGTCGGTTTGGCGGACACACTGGCTGTTTGGCTCGCTGGAGGTGCGGGGCAATGAAGGAGGTTCTTTGCACCACAGAGAAGAGAAGTTACTGGTCTCACCATCCCTGACCGACGGGCACGGAAAGGGACACGAAAGCTGAGGCGAAGCACGAATAACTTCCTCTCCTTGTTTCCTTATTTCACGTGCTCCGTTTGTTTCGCTGGATGTCGGATCCTAGGCTTCCTCGGATGTCGGGGAAAGGGTCATTTATGGACTTGAGAGTAGATGGACCAATTAAAGTACAGCATCTGAAAAAGACACAAAGCAAAAAACCACAGGTTTTTACAGTAAAGAAAAGGAAATAAAAATAAATAGAGTGGAAACATAGCCACTTCATTGATTAATACATTCACCTTTTAGTCATCAGTTACAGAGTACAGTTATTTCTACATGGTTTCCTGCTCGTCAAAAATTGAGGATGTGGTTGTTTTCCACAAAAACTCTTCAGGTTTTGTTGAAGAAAAGCGGATCAATATGCTCTAGAAAACTGAAACGTAAATGTTTTTTGCAGTTTTCTTACATATATGTATAATCAATTAACCCAAGTAATGATTGATAGATTCATCGATACTGAAAACAATCTTTTGTTGCGGCCACATATTGTTTCTAAGCTAGCTAAAAGATATCCTTCACTTTTCTGTACTGCAACTTCTTACGTATTGGTCAATATACTGTACAAGCTGATACTGACAGCAGTTTATCTTCTAAATTAAAGATCTGTAAAGAAGGATTTTGTGTCGCTGTGTGCAAAGATAAAGCTTTTGTGTTGCACTGCCTTTGCCCAGGAGGACGACAGCAGCAGAGTAACTTTGGTAACAAGCCTCTTAAAAAGAGAAGTGAATTATGGAAGTGTTTGGGCGCAGCATCCTTAAGATGCCTGTCTGAATTATGTCTGAAGCTGAAATAAATACTTCACTTATCCATCTGTCAAATGAGAAATCAATTCACAATTAATCGTTAAAGAAATGGTTCAAGCAAAAATGCCAAAGACAATAATCAACTGATTTATCGACAATGAAAGCAATCGTTATCTGTAGACTGAGCCAGAGAAGAGTTTAGACAGTTCTCCATCAACAGGCAATTATATCATTATAATAATGCTACTGGTGATTATAATGAAGGAGAATGCAGCTGAACCACTCAGAACAAATGGGATATAAGTTTTTATGCCTTTAGGGATCATTTAAACGTCGAAGACACTACAACTAGAGTTTTAACATTTTCAGTATTTAGTGCTGTGAACAGTGAGGCCTGATCGATTTATCTGAATCAGCTGATATGAGCCTTTCATGTGCATTTTGTTAACTTAATTCAAGTTCTATACATTTGGTTGTATTTGTGGTTAAACAAAAAAATATCAACCCTCCATTGTATTTCTTTGTCATAAGGGTCTGATAACAAAAAATCTTAGAAATCAATGACATTTTAAATACATTTTTCCCCCTAATATTGGCGTCGGCCTCCAAAAGTCCTTTTCAGCCGTGCTCTCGTCTTTAATACTGTGTAAATGTTTTGATCATTAAAGACCAAACGACATCAGACTCATTCTGCAGCATGAGATCAATCCTAAAAACATTCAGTCACAGTCATGAAGAAGCCAACATCCCTGACAGGAAGAACAAGGATGTGACCCACACAGAGTCCTGATCCCAACATCATGGGGTCAGTCTGGGATCACATGAAGAAGCAGAAGACACTGAAAACACAGAGGAACTGTGTCAAGTTGCTTGGAACAACTCAACTGCAAAGTAAGATGAAAATACACATGGGACGTATTCGTGTTTGCTCTAATGAATTTAAATAATTAGTAAAAAACAACCTATGTCATTGTTGCATGACTTTTAGAGCCTGAAACATCTGCAGGAGGAAAATGAATCTGAGGTGTGCAGACAAGGCAGCTGCTTTCCCACTGAGCTTCTCTGAGTGCAGCTGAATCAGGAAGTCACCCCGGATGTTAGTGGCCACACAACCTGGACTCCTCTGACCCAGCCCATCCGTGGGGGACGTGAGTGTGGCTGGCACAAGAGGAAAAGGGTTGAAATGGGTCACGATGAAGCGCAACGTGAGGAAGTTGGAGGGAGCTGTCGCAGCGCAGGATCTGCTGCAGCTGCCCGAAGGCCCCTGGATGTCTCCGGGTAAGAAGTAGTCAGGCTCACCGGACCCTGCTCCCCGTGCAACTAGCTCTGCTGGCTAACTGCTGCTGCTGCTGCTGCTGGGTGCACGGTTCCTCCTGCAGCTGTCCGAACCAGCAGCGAGCCCAGCGGCTGCAGGGGGCTCCGAGCCGCAGCGGGGGGAAGAGGAGATCCCCCTCCAGGTGACACCACGGAGAGTGGAGGGGAGGGAGGGAGAGCAGCACGGTGCTCACTGTCGCACCGAATTTTTTTTTTTTTCTGCCTCCAGTAATCAAACACCACCCACTTTCTTCGTGCTAGCTTTAGCCGACAGATCCGCTATCTCTCGCAGCGAGAGGAGGCGGCGGCAGCTGAGCAGCAGCAGCAGCAGCAGCTAGCACCGTGCTAACGTCAGCTAGCAATTCCGTGTGGAGCATTAGCGCAGAAGAATCAGCATCTTACCGCTTCGCGCCGGGCTGTCAGTGTCCGAGGACGACGGGAGCGAGAACGCGACGTCCCGGTGTCTATTCAGCGACATCGCAAACGGGAATCCCGCGGAGTAATGTCCATCGCCGCCGTTTTTCCTGCCATCCGCCCCACTTCAGCACCGAACGCCGCCGAGCCCCTGGATGCACTGCGCAGGCGCGCTGCCGCCGCCGCTGCTCTGTGGCTGCAGCTCGGTGAGATGCACCGCTGAGGCTCCACACACACACACACACACNCACACACACACACACACACACACACACACACACACACACACACACACACACACACACACACACACACACACACACACACACACACACACTTATGCACACTAATACACACACACACACACACACACACTCAAATATTCATCCATATTCACCGAAACTCTAAATCTATACAGAGAATCATAATAAGTTTTTATTAAACTTACAAAGAATGAAAATGCTTCTACAAACTCACACACAAACTCCTGTAGAGTCACAAAACAGCAGATTTTTATCACAAATTAAAAAAAAATGTTGCAGGAAATCGTGTCACTTTTGTTTGAAGAATATTATAGTGAAATATGTTGCATTGCTCTGAACATACAGTATGTCCTATACTGTTGCTGTTAATCTGTTAAATCTGATATTTGAAATATGGAAATGCAACAATCTGTATATTGCATGATGACAAAATATAAAAGTGTTAGCCTCTCTGCACAATAAGTTGCTGTTGATGAGCATGTGTATTATTTGTTTTTATAGTGGATGAAGAAATCTTATGTGTTCCCGGTATTAACACAGGGGGGCACCAAAACTCTGCTCTCTCTCTTTCTCTCTTGCTCTCTCTCTCTTTCTTTCTTTCTTTCTTGTTATCTCTCTCTCTCTCTCTCACACGCATGCACACACACACACACACACACACACACACACACACACACACACACACACAAACACACACACACAATCGTGTCTGCATGACATCAGAGGACTTACATTGATTTACTGGAGACGTTCTCTAATCTTAAACTCAACCTAAACCCAAAAGTCTTCACATAATAATTTAAATTCAGCGATTTACGTTATGAAGACTTAATGTTTGTGCCCATGAGGAAAACAAGTCCCTATGATGTGACTGTGTAAACAGATATAGGTCCCCACAACATACTAATACCTGGACACACACACACACACACACACACACACACACACACACACACACACAGCTGTTCTACTACTTAACTTTATGTGAAATCAAATAAAAATGTCATTGTCACAGCTACAGGGACAAGTAGTGGCTTTTAGTTAGACACCTTTTTTCCCATCAGTACCTGGTCACGTGCGTGAAGAAGATTTACAAATAATTTCAGCCGGCACCAGTCCACACAAACTAAAAGGACAGAAGTGATCGGTGGTTGGAAATTGCACTGGAATGGGAATATTTGATGTATTGATTTACTGTCAGGTCATACTCCATCTTTATTCATCTGACAGTTTTAGACATGAGGCTCTGGGACTCTCCAATGCGAGGATGATAAGAAGGTCAGGAGAGAAAATCCAGCGTGTGTATGTTTGTGTTCTTTGACACTGTTGGCACATTAATGGGGTTTTGAAGAGGCTTGGAGCGGCCGTGCTTTTCTTTGTGAGGATTTTGCTGATTTGCATTTGAAAAAGTCAAGAGCAGTACACAGCCGAATATACTCTGCTTCATTGTGGCTCTCAAACACGAAGCAGCAGGTCCTTAATAAGACAAAACAAGTGTGTGTGTGTCTGTGTGTGAGGCATTAACACAGTGCATCCAACTATTGTGATTTCACAGTTCTTTCCCTACTTTTTCAGTTGAGAAGTGTTTTCTTTCCCCTGTTGGCTGATTGAACAATAGATCATAAACCCCACCTTCTCCATGTTAACAGATTGAACATGAGCCAAACTAAAAAGTCAAAGTACACGTCAAATATCTTTTACTCAAACATGCAAAATATCCAGTAGCTGTCAAGACAGACCGACATTGTAATCTCATGGGCCACGAGCAATGCACAGAACGACATTGTGGCAGTTGACCATGCCACGGGGCTCCCACCACGGCAGCCAGAGACAAACCAGTCGGGTTTCAGCATGATTTTATTAAACAAACATAAACTTATAAAACCTAAACTTAACGGGTAGCTTTGCAGCTCAGTGTCTCATGTTCTGTCTCTGTGAGCCTCAGTCATGTGTCTCTGTGCATGTGTCTCTGTGCTTGTGTCCTCTTGAGGCAGCTGAGGTGCCGCCTTTTAAACCTGAGGATCAATCAGCTAACAGCTATCACCTGCTCTGATTGATCCTCGGTGCAGGTGAAGGTGCTCTCCCAGCCCCCTCACCTCCACAGACAAGCATCCCTCCAATCACAACTTCACCTACAAAACCCTGATGTCTTTGCTCCAGAATGTGTCTGTGGGTTTATCTTTCACCCACTGGTCATTGGGTTTGTGTAGTTAACCAAACCAAGCTTAGACAGCCTTCTGGGGCTGTTCCGTCTGTGTGTGCACGCATATGTGAGTGCATGAGGGCCAACAAGATACAGACAGGGGCCTGAAAGAAAGAGGCTGAAAGACGGATGGATGAACAGTGAGGTTCACGTGCACACAGGCGGTCGAAGCCTGCGTTCAAACTGATGACACCTGTCTGCTTTTCTGAAAGTCTCACAGAGAAATCACGAGGGCCGGCTACACATGTACGAGAACCTAACGGGTCGAGCAAATCAATCGCTTCTGAAAACCTCAAGTATGTGTTTTGCTCTGCGTGCTTTCACCCGAAGCCACTTTGGGAAAAGCAATGATTTTACTTGGCTGAGTACGAGTCTACAAACAAAATAAAAGGGCAATTGAGTTAAATCAGATCACGCAGTACACAAATCAAATTGTAACACACATTTTTAAAGATGAAAATCCTTATTACAATGTCTAAAAGTGTCTCAACCTATGATTTTGTTCACTTGTGTACTTACATTATCCAAAGTGTTTCTAAAAATGTTCAGAGAAATCCACAATTTTACTCAAGGTCAGGCTTTGCCCGTGATTTCGCCAGTCTCTGCTTCAACTTCTGTGTAATGAAGGAAAAACACACTCGACAGTTAACCAGTTATTCAGTGTCTGTGAGAGCTCAACGCACTGTAAATTATGAAAACACATGCATGTAGAAAAAACACGTGCATATTAAGAAAACAACTTTGACCACACATCTACTGCAAAAAGTCACAAATGCAAATTGCAAAAACGACAATGAAAATGTTTCCAGGTGACCCAAAACAGTGATGTATCTGGCTGCGGTTCAACGCTTTGTGAAGTTTCATCACCACTGAAAAGTAGCAGACTACAATAACTTCCAAAGTGGTCTGATTTTGTTTTGTGCTATTTGGACCATTTTCGCCATTTACCATCATGCCACTTTGGGTTCACATCCAGATTTCAGCTTGCCTAGCGCACCAGATGTTTTCCAAAATCAGTTTGGGGATATATAGGCCACATTGTCTGTTTTACAAATGGCTCACATTAATTTTGTCATCCAAAGCCAGGGGTGTCTGACGTGGCTTGAATCCGTACACTATCTGGATTTAATTCTGTTTTGTGTGGTATTCTACATTCCAACAGACACAGTGAATCATATCTTAGAGTGACAGGTACAATGTGTGTGGTGCTTGTGCTCATCTGTGCTTAATAATTACCTGTACATTTCCTAGGCAACATGGAAATGCAATTTCTTATCGATTTATGGCATTTCTGTGTCTTTAATATGGACAAATGGGGGTTGGGGTAAAGCAATAATATGGTTCCTGGTAGGGATCTTATCTTAGTGAGACGACGTGACAGCTCAGAAATGGCACTTTCACATGATTTCACCAGCGCCTCCCTCTGAATCTGTTTCCTGCTGCTGTCCTGAGGCCCGACTGTCAAAGTTGATTTGTCATGAGGGCGCCAGACCACAGGAACAATGGGTTACTAGCAAGTGCATTACTAATTTGACTTATGTAACTTTCATGTTAATAAAGTTTGGAATTATAGTTTGATAAATATTCTGCGGCACAGGTAATCATGCTGTGAATTAATATAATGCACATTTAATTGGACTGTGCTGTTGTTTACTTGCAGAAGCAGAAATGGATGACGAAGAGCACTTCTTCCTCTTTCTGTCACAAACAGAAGCCAGCTCTCCTGTTCCAAGAGATTAGACCCCGAGGTCGATCCAAGCCGAACCATTAGAATAACTTATGACTTTCAAAGGTATTATTAATGGCAGGCGGTCATAAGAATATATTACTGCTCCTCATCATTCTCTTAAATCTCAGGAATGGGTTTGGGCCATAGCCATATTTTAGTATTATAAATATAACAGTAAGAACGTCAGTCAAGCATTACTGGTATTACTTCTTGCTTTCAGCCAAAACAAGCATTAAAGCAAACAGGCGCAGTGGTTAGCACAGTCGACTCAGAGCAGCCAGGTTCTTGGTTTGAATCCTGGCACAGTCTGATGACCTGTAGATCGGTTTGAGGTTAATTGGAAACTTTTAATTATTGTGCGTGAATTTTTGTCGACAGACATGCAGATGTCAAAGCAGCATGGGACCATATTCAGTTCAGTACAGTTCACACACCAAACGCTGATCCTACTGTGCTGCTCTCAAATTCTTATTCCAGATGATTTATTGAAATAAAACTTTCAAAGCAAACTTTTTTTCCCCTCCTTGTAGTTACAACCCTTGCCAGTAGAGGATGCTGCCGTCCCCACTACTTCTCCCTCCGCTGTCCTCAGGTCGTGTACGGTTGGAAACCTGTGTTTCTGTTTTGACTGGATCATGAAACATGTGGAAGAAGCTGTGGCTGAGGATAAAGACCATCAATTACATTCTGCTTAAAAAACAGGAATTTATTACCGACCAATTACTTATGTCAAAACTGACCTGAGGTACGATACAGATCACGTTATAAAAGGTTGAAGACAAAATCAGATCATTGTCTTCTCTGAAAAGTTTACGTATCGATCATGGGAGAGTTTTCAGTTGACATTAGCAACGTACGACCGCAAAGGATGTTGCTCTCATCACATGTCAGTGAAATGTCAAAACATGTCTTCTTCACAGCATCAGCCAACAAACACACATATGCAAGCACATTCTCTCTCTCTCTTTCTCTCTCTCTCTCTCTCTCTCT